TCTCTAATGAAATGAACTATTTTCTCTTCCCTATTAACTAAATTAAGAGATTTGAAACATTACAATTACATCTTAAAATCAAATTTGCAATAACAACTAACTATAAAAATGAGAAAAAGGAGAAGTTAGTGCTCGGTTAACGGTAATTTTTTGATTTGCTTCTGATAGTATTCTAATGTCGCGTACGTTATGCAAAAACATTGTTTGTCTATGTCATTTGTATATTGGCAGTCGCAGGTAATGCAGATTACAATTCTTAAGCGAGAATTCTTCTAGTTAAAGATATACAGTAAAATTTTCTTTCCAACCGAAGTAAAAAAAATTCTATTACCCTTTAAAGTTTGTCGCATACGTTATTGTAAGTACGAAAATTTCAATCAAATACATCAAAATCAATGCGGTTTTGAAAACGCGAAACGGTGGAGAGAAGACTGAAAAAATTTAATTTAGTATGTGTTACTAGTAAAAATATTGTATGGGGGAAAAATCTGTCGCGTACGTTATTATATATTTTTTTTTTAATAAAAACTAACCAGAGATAATTTCTATCAAACAATGAAAGAATTGTAAATGTACATTATTTAGCTTAGTGTAGGAATTTTTAAAGAAAAGAAAAACTCTCATGATTCGCAGACTTTCGCATATATGTATATGTGCCTTAAAACCACTTCTTTTTTGTCGCGTACGTTATCACCTGGTTTTGAACGGATATTTTCCCCACCAAAGTTTCGAGGCTGCTTATATTTTTCTCAAACATAGTACCCTTTCGTTGAAACATAACCGTAATCTTCTTTTTTCTGTAACTCCTATTTTTGATAGATCTACGTTACTCTATAAGCGTATGTCGCGTACGGCTGTATGGAAACACCCATATTCGAAGCAATCGAGCCATAATCGCGAAAGAATCGTAAGCTCCAAATGTTTTTATTTGGCGTTTTTCAATCAAAACACCATAACTTTTCCACAAACAAATAGCTTCTTCATATCTATCTAATGTAAATGGTACCGCAAAGAATTTACAAGGCAGACAAAGAATAAAAAAATAGCTCTAAGGGGACCTTCCATTCTTGAGTTTTGCGCCGTCTGACGTACGCAACTTTGGTATATTCATAGCAAAATTTATTTTTAATAATAATCAGGGGTTGTATTTGATGTAAATAAGCTGGTTTAAATTAACTAAATAAATCAAATTCGTTTTTGTATTAAAACACCACGATGCACCATTATCGACGCCTTTTTGTAGAATTTCGCTACTTTTTAGGAAGTGTGATTGAATTCTTCCCCTTTTTCTCCTGCTTCCAAAAACCATCCCTGTGGGTGGGAGTGTCAAATTTTAGAAAATAGCTACTTACAAAACCTTTAATAATTGAATCATGGTCTGTTCCCATGTTTCAATAATACAAGGTTAGATAATTATTGACAGCTGCGGTTTGACACTCCCTTACAAAAGGTTGCATTTACGAAGGACGGAGAAAGGGGAAGAATGAAATATCTTGGTGCGAAAATGGTAGTAGAACAGTACGCAAAGTAGGCAATTAGTAGTGAAAATCCTTTTGTAAATTCTAATGTATTTGCAGGAAATCTGGTATTTTAAACGAAATGTTGAACGTAATATTGATATATCTACGCGAATTACGTAATTTATGTGCTATTTAGCTGTATAAAAACTGCAAAATGACTCAAAATTAAAATAAGACTACTATGAGATTGATGTAAACATCCAATTTAAAAACAGTTTATGTTTTCATCAGTTAAATATGCTTCATATGCATACACAAATAAACATATTGCACAAAAGCTTATACTTCTATTTCACACCAAAGGTACACTGTTTCCATGTAAATTTGCAAAGAAGTAACACTGTGCCACTGCTAAGGGAGCGGTGCGAGAGAGACAACTGTCAGTTTATCGAACCTTGTATTATTGAATCATGATCTGTTCCTTTGAACTTCGGACTAAAACCTGTGGAACTGTCAAACTACAATTTTACGCTCTCAAATGAGAGTAAAAGGAGAACAGATGCAGAAGTGCATAGGAACGCAAAAAGCACTATTTCCTGTAAAAACGTCAGACGGTTTGTTTACATGTCATTGGTACTACACCGATTTGGCTGAAATATCACTAAATAATTATTAAAATTTATACATATTCAAATATTTCGTTGTTTACTTCCATTTTTTAACAAATATAAGCTTCTTTGCTTTCACTGCTTTCTGTTTTTGTTTGCACATGTAAATCAGCTGATCGTTTGACACTTTTCATGAACTTACAGGAAAAAAATCTCCGGACTAAATCCTGTAACTTCTGACTAGGAACAGTTGCTCATTTACTCTCTCAAATGCGTTCCCACTTACAGGTTTTGTGTCAATAGGAACGACTTCCTGTAAGTTCTGACTAAATCCTGTAAACCGGACTGCTATTGGAACAGACTAACAAAATTTTGACAATCAAACGCTACTCACCATGATACAAAAAAGAAGGTAGATTAAATAAACAACTTTTGACGGATAATAAAATTTTTTGAAGTTTCATAAATTGTGAGTATTATCAACGGCCTTGCCACTTTGATAATATTAAAACAATAAATCGGAGTATTTTCTTTCCCATATTTATACCAATGTAATAACATTTCAAATCAAAAACCATTATTAGTGCTTGGTACTTTTTTTTACTTACGTGGTTTTTTTATTAAAAATATTTAAAATGTAAACTGTTAAAGGAGACTTCATTGTAACTGTTCTTTTCATTTTGTAATAAAAACCACGCGCGCATTATTCTGTTATTTTTTTGTTTTCTTATTTTGAATGCAATCTTGCGATTTAAAAGTCGAATTCTAAATAATGTTCTTCCCAAATAAAACCTTTTTATATTTTAGTTCAAATTTACTTTTACATTTCTCATCAGATTTTGCAAAAAATTAGGCTTTGTGATTAACGCATCATCATTAAATTTCACAAATTCTTAATTTATGCAAAATACCTGAAGTCGGCTTGAAGAGATCGCCCTCCGATAAACAACTAACAGATCCTTGTTTAAAGTACAAAACCGTGTATCGACAAAATGCACAACTGTCACATACGCAGTTGCATTAATTGTTTGTAGAGAGTAAAACACTCATATTTCAAAAGGTTCTCTTTTTTTACAAAGAAATCGCATTTCAGGACGAATGGATAAGGCTTGAGCCAAGAGCTTGTGTGAGCAAATCCCATTTTTGGCAAAAAATGTCAATTACGCGGTTTTGCAGAACGACGATACGCGGTTTTGTACTTTAAGCGACGATATGTAAGCATACACTTTCGTCATGCTTTCTGAACCTAGTCGTCAACCCCATTTTCGAAATCATGTAGCCGGCATAATTTTCTAGTTTATCATATTCCACATCGTTGAATGTACTGATAAAATCTTCTGGTTAAAAAAAAATATTTCTTCTAGTGATCAGGTAGCATGAATTTGATGAAATGTCATAATTTTATTAAAAGTCAAATGGTTAACAACAACAACGAATGTCATTAAATGAAACTACCTTCTTTTTTGTATCATGCTACTCACAGCTGATGAAACGACACCACCTTATATAAATTCGCCTTGATCAGAAATATGATCACAATCGGCCTACTGACACGCCCATCAGTCATGAAAACCCCAAATTTTATTATATTCGCACAACATCTACCATAACTGTTCTTTGGTTTAGTAGTTAGCGAGGAAATTCGCCACCCTATGCCATTTTTTGTAGTTCTTCATTCCTAGGCGAATTTCACTGAAATCGGATCTCACCCAAGCCATTCTCCATAAAGCCATTGAAAATGTTTTAATTCATATACATATTCTCAACTCCGAAAGAAAGAGGAAAATTATGAAAACCCGTTTTGAAACAACCCTTGTATACTATTAAACTTGGTATTAAAGCTGAAATCAAATCCAACAAAAGCCGATTCATACAACAACACCGACATCAAATGCCCTTTGAATATAACTGGTGCTTTTTTTTCTCCGGAAAAAGCTTTAGATCGTGTTACTAGGCATGTCTAGAGTCGAGCCAACGACTTCGTAGGCTATTTCGATAAATTACGAAAATAGGACCTTCTGCCAATCTCGGACTACTGTGCGACGTAATTTCTCGTAAAATATACAGTCGGTATCAGTTTTTCACCTCGGCCCAAAAGAAAAGTTTCGTGTGCTGGCAAGCTTCAATACCACTCCTTGTGCCTTGAATACCGATCGGCGTACCACAATCCAAATGAACGCAGTCGAAATATTGTCTTTATAGCTGTAAATAGCTGTGTTGTACTCATGGCACCCGTAGTGTGCTCACACCTACTCCATTGTAGCCCATTTAACATAGAAGCCATAGTTTTGAAACTGATTCGACGTTACCACATCACATCCGAATACGTTACGATCAGCTTCCAAACTACCATAGCCGATCTCATATCCCAAGTCTTACTAAAAGTACTCCGACCTGTCGTTTAACCTTCAGCTCGGCTTAACTTTTCCACGTCCACTTCGTGTCAAGAGTTATTCCCAGATTAGCATTCCACCTCAGCGGAAACAAAGCCAGGATAAGAAACATAAGGAAATGTCTCAAGAAATGGGTGCATGTCGCACCGAAGACGTTCTAAAATTTTTGGGCTAGCAAATTACCGAGGTAAACTAGTAGCCTCATTTTCTTAAGGATATCTGTTTCGTACCTGATAAAAAGTCTAATAACTAGACATTTATTTCAAGAAATTAGAATATACGCCTAGTGTATTATGCTCCTAGTGCATAGGAATGCGAGTTGTTACCCATTATACACCGTTAGTAAATAAATATTATTATAGTTCCATCCCCACCCGCTAGTTATACACACCCAATGCGTTTCTAAGACAGCACGTCGTGGCTCCAATCGAAGTGAAGTAAATAACAACCGTATTGAATGCATAAAAATAGACGTTGACACACAAATATTTTAGCTTTGGAAATTCCAGCACAAAGCATAGCACAATTAAATCAGAAAATTATGATAAAAGCATTACAAGGTGATGTATACGATAGCCGATGTTAGCACGTCTTAACGGCATTCCATTTGCTTCATTTCTCTGTATTAGTTTACTCGAAGCTGCTCCCAATTTAATGTGCTGTAATTGTATGGAGTTTTCTGCTGACAGCAATACAATAAATCGACTCGCCGCAAGCTCTAAATAAAGGTAATACAATTATTTTATAAGTTCAAGTTCAGTTTTCCTCTTTGATTTGTATACTTAATAGTGCAGCGAACGCTTTTACAGCTTTCTTTCGTATAAGTATAGCCGGCTGTAAAAGATATTCCACAGGTATTTCGTCTCCTAGTACATTTTTGGAACGGCATAAATTCAACAATTTTACCATTACACCAAAAGCGCCCCATTCATTTTGGTCATCAGACTCAGACTATATTCCAAAAATTATATACCCTAAATTTAATACATCTATACAAAAGCTTACACAAGTATCAACTGGCAGTTCTAAATTATTGTTAATGTTGATAACAGCACTTCCCATACCACTATTGGGCTCTATAATTGCCTGATGAATGTCTTCCGGCACAGGCGTAGGCAACCTCTGGCGTCTATTTATGGATTTATGTTTCTCACCATTATTCCAATTTTTATAAATTTGGGTAGCAAGTTCGTCGGTAACTTCGCATTGTAGAATTTCTCGTATTAAACTACGATAGGCAGCAGAGATCCGAGAATTGTCAAAACTTCGGCGCGTTACATGGTTCTTCCTTTTAAAGTTTCTCATTGTAACACAGCTGCGGTAAATATGGCATTATTTGAAAAATAGTTTGAATGAGCATTAATAGCTTTGAATTACTTGCGGTTGAGTGTGGTTAGTAGTTTATTGGCCGACGGCAGAATCATTTCAAAAGATTTTTCACTCGGCAAATGTCGCTTCGGAATCCAATTGACCTTAGCTCTGGCTTTTCTTAATTTTGTTCTAAAATTAATTTTAGTTTGTAGCTGTGTACGCATTTCCGTTTCCGTTAGTTCAATGTGTTGGTCGATGATTATTTTTCTAACCATTCGCTACCGAGCTCTCAAACCGTACGGTCGCATTTCTATAGTGTGTGTATTATACTCGCTAAATAACTACTCGCTACTTTCTGTACGCGCTTCTTAACCTCAATTTGTATTTTGAGCGCTATATTTTCCTCGTTTTTGGTTAAAAGTTAAATTTACAACTTAATCTGATAAAACAGCAATAGTCTTAATCTTTCGCAATGCCCCCCGGGGCCAATAGATTGGGGGATAATAGGTTTGCACTATTATCCCCACCTCCGAAAAACAAAAGAAAAAAGCCAGAAAGCTCACCGCTGAACTTATTCCCGGAACTACCAATAGCTAAGAAGGATGATCCCAAGTATCTCACAATCAAATCACAGGACGACAA